TAGTCTATCTTTCGCCTCTTGGCTTTTACCTTTCTATATACCTTTCTTTACTTCTTACTCCATGGCTTGCTGGCCCCTGGACTCCTTCTCTTCTCCTTTTGCTCCTTCTCAATGTTCTCTTCCCAGATTTCTCTTCTCATTTATTCTCTTGCCTGCCAGCCCCACCTATCCCTTTGCTGCTTTGCTATTGGCCATTCAGCTCTTTATTAGACCAATCAGGTGTTTTAGACTGACAACACAACACAGCTTCACAGAGTTAAACAAATGTAACATAAAAGAATGCAACACATCTTTGCATCATTAACCAAATATTCCACAGCATAAAGAAAGGTAACACAACTTCCACAACATACAATCGCCAGTAAATATAGTTGCAGTGAAACTGACACTCTCTTCTGGTCTCAGCAGAGACCAGGAGCCCATGTGATGTACATGCATACACTCGGGCAAAATATCACACACATAAAATAGAAATAAATTATTGCTTAAAAAAATACATTCCTGCACCATGTTGTGAGCCAAACCAAGTCAGTAGCCCTGAGTCTGGATATGCAGCTGTTAAGATCTTCACAGAGTCCGATGTCTTAGATACTTTTCTGTTGCTGTGAAGAGACACAATGACCAAGGCAACATATAAAAGGAAAGTGTGTACTGGAGGCATGCTTGCAATTTCAGAGCATAAGTCCATAGTCATCATGATGGGGAAGGTTACAGCAGGCGGGCATGGTGCTGGAGCAGTAGCTGAGAGTTCACATGTTGAGACACCAAGGACCAGGCAGCATGAACCAAATGAAATAGTTTGGGTTTTTGAAACCTTTAAAGCCCATCCCCAGTGACACACCTCTTTCAACAAGGCCACACCTCCTAATCCTTCCCAAATGGGAGCAAGCATTCAAATATATGAGCCCATGAAGACCATTTGCATTCAAACCTCCACAACTGAGAAGCACTACTGTGGTTTTTTTTTTTTTAATTTTATGTGTATGACTGTTTGCTTGTACGTGTATGTGTACCACATGCATGCCTGATACCCTGTGAGGCTAGAAGAGGACACTGGGTCCCTTAGAACTGGAATTACAGACAATTGTAAGGAAAAAATGTAAGTTCTGGGAACTGAACCTGAGTTCTTTGCAAGAATAGCAAGTGCTTATAACTGCTAAGCAGTCTCTCCACCCCCATATTACTGAAAAACAAACAAAAAACCTTCATCCATGGAATCAGGTCTCTAAGAATTAGAAACTGAGAATTTTGACCATGAAGATAAAATGTTTAAGTCGCTCAGGTAATCCAGGGAACCTGTTTTCTTCCAATTTCATGATTTAATCATTTGTATGACACTGCAAAATGCCTTTTTTTTTACAAACACAGAAATTTTATAAAGCATCTATGCAATGAATTTTGTGCAAATGCCTATAACCATGCTGAATTTTTTTCATTGATTAAAATTATTCTTGAAATCTCAGGAATAGAAACTTTTTCCTGTATATCCTGGAACAGAACACTTTATCTGACCTGTTTCCCAATTATGGAAGTTCCAAATCACTGAGATATAAATAAATGAGACTTTACCATACTCAGAACACCAGTATGATGAAAAATTTGTTTACAACAGGAGGTTTTAGGTCATCTTTCAATCATTCATCCCCTGAACCAGAGTAAGGATGCAGGAGAGTGCACACACACACCCAAATGTGACACATGGTAAATGTTGGTGGTCACTGAGCTGGAATGAAGGAGACCTTCAAATTCCATCACCTTCCTCACCTTATATTTTTGGATACAAGAATCAAAGGCATTCAAATACTGTTGACATGACCTGCTCAAGCTTTTTTGTTTATATTTCTCTCACTTCTTATATCTTAAATACTGTACTTTGGTCCTGGTGACATTAAAGGGAGTAATGAAAGAAATATGTTTAAATAATAAAAGTTATAAACTGAGTGTGTTAATGAAAGCCATTCCAGAGGGCTTCTAAAACATGTACCATCTTCCCTAATAAGGAGTTCTAATTCTTGCAGTAAGACAATACTTGTAGGTTGAGCTTGAAAGTTCTGGTAGAATTATTCAGAAAAAAAATCATTGAAACTTCTTTCAGCTCATTTAGTCCAGATTCCTCTAATTTTACTTTTGCAATTATATATTGCAATATATTATATATTCATTGTACAGAGTGTTGGGTTTCATGCAGATAATTCCTTTCAAGTATGCCATGAAAGTTGACAAAGCAGAGTTTTAAATATTATTTAAGATTAAAAATTATTGATACTGTGTAGGACAACTGAGTTGCAAGCATTAGAAATGAAATGAATGAACACCATATAAATACAATAGTACAAAAGTTTGAAAGATGTTTTTGTCATGTAAGGAAGCTCCAGAGGATAAATCCAAGTTCTGCCCTCTGGTGGAAAATATATAATCAATGAAGGAAATGGGGATTCCCTTTTCTCCCATGTCATTCTCCACTGCACTTCCCATGGAGACTTGGATGGGTTGAGGATCTGTCTCATTTCGGTAGAGTCTTTCAATGTTAGTGGCTAGCTAGCCAGCTCTTTAGTTGTGTCATTGTTGACGAGGTTGGAGGCTTTGACCACGTGCCAAGTCTTCAAGGCCTGTTGTGAAAGAAAGTTCAGTTCTTATAGAACATGTGGGCATTTTGAGTAGATGCCACAAAGACTTCCAATCCTCTTTTCATCCCTAATTATGGACCAAAAGCAACACTACTGTGGAAACACAGTAGCAAGATAGGTCCAGGGAAACTGGACTTACCAGGGAATAAGATGACTTTAACAACATCCATAAGCCAAGCATGAACTCATTTGGTCATCTATTAAACATACTTTAAGGCAGTATTTTAAAACAAATATTTAAGTTGTGTGTGGTGGTTCATGCCTTTAACCCCAGTCCTCAAGAAGCAGAGGCAGACCTCTGTGAGCTTGAGGCTAGCCTGGTCTACAAAGTTAGTTTCAGGACAGTCAAGAAACACTCCCTGCCTTGGGGGAAATATGTATGTATGTACATATGTAGCCTTGCCTATTTTTTGACAGCTTGTTAGGACAGCCACAAAATTGTGACATCCATTGACCAGGCTACCTTCATGGATTTGCATACACCAACTGCTTTCATCATGACTTCTTTCACACTGATAGAATTCTTGGTCATTTGAGCCTCAAATAGTAGCTTAAAGAAGATAAAAAGATCCATCTCTTATTCCTGTGGCCATGCATTTACAAAATTACATGGCACAGGAATTACCTGTGTGTTACTTCCAAAGAAAAGTGAAGAAAGTTTGATGCAGTCATTCATTTGTCTCACAAGTCACTGATGACTGAAATTCTCAACACATGGTCAACATAGTTATTGTCTTCTGTTAGTATGTGCCATATAGTAGTCTAGAAGATGTCAGGGTACAGTTTGAATGTGTCTCCATTTTGAATAAATGACTGGGTGTTTTTTCATTTTGTTCAACTGTATCCACGGGATGGAAAAATGGAATGTTTCAAGCTGCTAATCCTCTGGCTCATTTATCTATTGGTACAGCTCCCTCTATTGAAGGCTAGTAGTGTATGTAGTTCCTCAAAAGGCCCTATTCCTACTGAGACATACTCAATGTACTCAATGCCTCCAAAGGCACCAGAGTTTCATTAGAGGAATTCTCTTGTTCCCTTCCTTCATATGGAAATGTCATTAACCGTATTAAGTTAACTCTCTGAGTATTAGGTTCCTAACCAACACACAAAGTTTCTCCACAGGGCCTATTTCACCAGGCGTCACAGATTCTGAGTCATGCCATGGGTTGAGATTAGATTTAAGAGGAACTCTCTTGTATCTGTTGACTTTCCTCTTCAATCATGGTTGTCCCATTTCTTTAACAGCCAACCACCTTGAGTCTTTCAGGTAAATGAAAAGTTCAATTATATGTAAAGTGAGTGCTAAATCAGCAGGCCCCTTGTGGGGGTCTGGGCTTTCTCTCCCTGCTTCAGTGGCAAGTGTGTTCAATCTATTACTGTTCCTGAGGATTGTACATCCATCAGGTCATGTGGGCTGGCCAGGGTGCATCTTATAGCTTTTACTGCATATGAGACGTTGCAGGCCTGTTCTCAGGAACTGCCGGGCAGACTGGGAATCACAGTCACGGTTAATAGCAGCGAATTGCCAGCTCTTGATGGGTGGGTAGTCACTCCTTTCAGTGGCTGCCCCCTGGGGGAGAAGGTAGAAAAACAGAGGGAGGGAATTAGACTGACTTTGCACAGTTGAGCAGGTTCATGCCGCTGGATCAGTGGCAAGCATTGGCAGGGCTCCACTCTGGGGAGGCTCCACAGGACATCACAGTCTCATTTTTACCAATTGGTGCTGCTGTATTACCAGTGGAGCACAGGGGGAGAGCAGAGGGGAGGGCGAGCTGAAGTGGGGGGATGGGAGGGAGGCAGAAGTCTAAGCTAAATTAAACAAACAAACAAAACATAAATGCACGCTCAGACGGGTTCACACACCCCAGTTAGCCCCGTGCTAATTGTACAAAACTGGTATTTGAAGTTCCCTAGGTGATTAAAAAGTAGACTCCCAAACTCTCTGCATAACCTTAATTTTTTCAAGGTTCTTTGAGTGGAGAATGGCTTATAATAATGATTTTGACTAATACATTTTTTGACATGCAACTTTAATGCTTAGCCTGAGTACAACTCTAGAGCATTTCATGTGTACTCAGCTGTAAAGAGTGATGATTTAAAGGGCTAATATAAGGGAAAGGTCGTTCTAGAATGAACCTCTAACAAATTGCATAAAGGAAGCTTATTATTCCATGAGTATAGGAAGATGAAGCTCTTCTGATCATTTTTCTGCTTGGTTCAAAAAGAATTGTTGAGATACGAGTGGGAGAAGAAGGAAAAATGAAAGAGAAATGCACAAGCAAGGAACATTCCTTTGATGGTTATGATTCCATTGCCACCTAAAAGACTCTACAATAATGTGGTTATTCATCTCCTCTTTTGTTTTGGGTGAAGAATTCGCTCTAACAAGAAAATGCTGCTGTTGGTTGGAGGGTTGCCTCCCGGACCGGACCGGCTCCCCAGCAATCTGGTTCAGTATTATGATGACGAAAAGAAGACATGGAAAATACTCACAAGTGAGTGTGCTTATTTATTTCCTTGCCTGTTTATTTCAGGCTGGAGTTGTCTTGATGAATTAAAAAAACGCAGTTAATCAAATCAGACACTGTATTGATCTGCTACCCTTTGGAGGTTTGTTTGTATATCATGGGAGATTTAGAGTAAAAGACTAAATTAACATTGCCTAGGTGGCCAATTTGGTAGTCGAACAGGGCTAAATTAAAACTGGCCTGGTTTGTCACAGTGTGTGTTGGAATGGATGGGGGTGGGGCAGGAAGCAGAAATTGTCCCCTAGAAATGCTTCAGTTAGAGTTTTTGTTGTCGTTGATACAGAACTGGAAGGTTGTTTAGTCTAAACACTAGTAAGTTTTCTCACGTCAAAATGGTAGGTATTTTAGCTCATTATCTCTGTAACCAGCATCCATTGGCCTAGTAAGAATCCTTGAAACCTTTAGTCTGGGGGACCAGGTATTTCCAGAAATGGCCTCTGTAGGCTGCTCCAAAGCTTGATGGACAGATATATTCATGGCTTCCCCAGCTGCATTAAACTGTGCTTGCAAACGTCCAGCCAAGACTTTCTTCTCCTCTCCTTAAAGGGTGATTGTGTTTTACAGCAGAACTCTTGCCTTGGGCACTGAGATTTGGAACGTATTGTTGTATCGGTTACGATTCCTGATCTGATGCAGTCATGGAATCAAAAATCATCGTTTCTTGAGTGCAGTAGGCTGCTCACAGCAGTCCCCTTGTGGGCACAGTGGCTGCACTGGTCAATAAAACTAAATTTTAACTGTCAAAATTGCCCAGAGCTGTATAGATAAAATAATAAATGAGCAATTTTGATCCATGAATCAAAGACATACATTTAAAACCAACAAAAGTGAAAGTTAGCTTCCTTATTGTGTATGTCTTTCAAACATTTGTGAATTTTAGCAGATTGCTCTTATAAAATCATTTCCTTGGCTCTTCCTGAAAGACCCTTAAAATAATAGATGCAGGAAAAGAGTTTCCCTTAAGAGCAGTAGGAGTGAAGACATACGAGGTGGGGCTTGAAGCAATATACTTATGAGCTGGCCTACCCCGTGCAAACCCTGCAGTAGCATGGTTCAGGCACTGCATCTAGAAGGCTCCCTGGACACCTCTATACTATGGTTGTAGTAAGGAAGTGGCTGACAAGAAACAGCAAGATTAAGCAGGACGAGGAGTAAGAAAATAAGTTAATGAGGTCTTAAAAATGCTTTTGCTTCTTTTTTGGTGAAAATGCCATTTTCCATGGTTTAGATATCTTAGTGAGTGAGCCAGCTATATTTTATTTATTTATTTATTTATTTATTTATTGGTTTTTCAAGACAGGGTTTCTCTGTGTAGCTTTGGATCCTATCCTGGCCCTTGCTCTGGAGACCAGGCTGCCCTCAAACTCACAGATATCAGCCTGCCTCTGCCTCCTGAGTGCTGGGATTAAAGGCGTACATCACCAATGCCCGGCTACCAGCTGTATTTTAAAGATGCATCAGAAACTAAAGCTAAAGTAAAATCAGAGAGGCAATATGTTTGACATCACCTGATCTAATCAGCAGAGAACTCCTATAGAGATGTCATGCCAACTCAGAGGATAGATGAGAAAGGGACAAAAGATTTCCAGAGAGAAAATCATAAACAGACGGTAAGACACAGCAAGATCATCAACACCACTAATAAAAGAGTCATTGGCAAAGCAACCTGCTTTCCAAATACTCCACACTGCACCCAACTGGGGGCTTATTAAGACTCTCCATGCCAGGGAAAAGGAGCATAAACAGCATCTCCAGAAGGTCTTATGCTTGAATGTTTACATTTATTTACTTGTTTGTTTGGTGTGCATTTGGTGCATTCACACTTGCACCACAGTGTGCATGGGGAGGTCAGTAGACAACTTGAAGGAATCAGTTTTCCCCTTTGGTCATGAGGGTTCTAGGGAACAAAACGTTCATCAGGCTTGGCCACAATTGCTTTTATCCACTGAACCATTTCATTAGCCCCTTATCTTCCCGTTAAACCATAGTCAGAGATAGATTATGAGGTTTCTTACTCAAACTGGGACAGCTTTGAACACGAAAGGGGATCTATTAATTATGCCTGGACAATAGCCAATGGCTGCATCATACAGTTGTCACCTGATTTAAAACTTTCATGTTTCCTGCAAGTCTCTCTTTCATAGCTGTAAAGCATGAACTTTCAAATCTGGACTTGAACACAGGTCTCTCACTTTGACCATGCCCTGCAAACATTCTGGGTCAGTTTCTCATTTGTCAGTCCCTTGAGTGTTTTAAGATAGCCTTGTACTCATGCATCATCTAGCATGCAGCATGTACTCAATAAATTGCAAGTTTTAGCTATTGTTAATGCTACTACCAACATTAGCACAAGAGTTGTGTCTTTATCCTGGATGTGTGTCAACCACTGCAACTTCTCCATGTACAGTAGAAAAATAACAGTTCAATCGTGCCTCCAGAGTAGGAAGCCTGCTTTCCACAGTATCTATGTGTGAGATGGATTAATCTACAGACTAAGAAATGATATTGAATGGTTACCTATCAACTCAGCTAATCTGAGATGAGAGAAAGATACACACATACTGACATAAACAAGTTCCTACACTGAGACCATGCTTAAGGATTTTGAAGCTTCCTTCTATCCCGTGGCATGCTCAGAGCTCTGAAATGAAAATCTGCTTTCCCAACACTCCTTATGTCCTTGAGAATTATGCATTAAAAACATACTCTCTTCCCTGCCAGACTGGAACCCTATAGCCCTAGTAACATCATGGTTTTCATATTTGTTAAAGAAATGATGATACTTTAATATGAATAATATCTGTTAGTTTGTACTTTTAAACCAAATTTTAAATTCATCTAAATATGAAAAAATAAGTCATTGCGATTGCAGGGATATGAAATTATAACTGGAAGAAAAAGTCTGTCACTAAACAGTTTGGTATTGGCACAAAAATAGACAGGTAGACCAATGGAATAGAGTTGAAAACCCTGATATTAACCCACACACCTACGAACACATGATTTTTGGCAAACAATCCAAATTTATACGATGGAACAAAGAGAACATCATCAACAAATGGTGCTGGCATAACTGGATGAGGACATGTAGAAGACTACAGATACACCCAAGCCTTCCGCCCTGCACAAAACTTAAGTCAAAATGGGTCAAAGATCTCAACATAAACCCAGCCACACTGTACCTATTAGAAGATAAAGTGGGAAATACCCTTGAATTAATTGGTACAGGAGATAGCTTCCTGTACATTACACCAGTAGCACAGACACTGAGGTCGACAATTGCTAAAAGGGACCTGCTGAAACTGAGAAGCTTCTGTAAGGCAAAGGACACAGTCAGCAAGATAAAACAGCAGCCCACAGACTGGGAAAAGATATTCACCAACCCCACATCTGATAGAGGGCTGATTTCCAAAATATACAAAGAACTCAAGAAGCTAGTCTCCAAAACACCAAAGAATCCAATTAAAAAGTGGGGTACAGAACTAAATAGACAATTCTCAATAGAGGAATCTAAAATGGCTGAAAGACACATAAGAAAGTGTTCAACATCCTTAGCCATCAGGGAAATGCAAATCAAAACAACTCTGAGTTATCATCTTACTCCTGTCAGAATGGCCAAAATCAAAAACACCAATGACAGTTCATGCTGGAGAGGATGTGGAGAAAGAGGAACACTTCCCCACTGCTGGTGGGAGTGCCAACTTGTACAGCCACTTTGGAAATCAGGATGGTTATGGGGACTCCTCAAGAAAATGGGAATGAGTCTACCACATGATCCAGCAATTCCAGTCTTAGGCATATACCCAAAAGAAGTACATTCATACAACAAGGACATCTGTTTAATGATGTTCATAGCAGCACTATTTTTAATAGCCAGAAACTGAAGAATGGATAGAGAAAATGTGGTACATTTACACAACTTACACAATGGAGTACTACTCAGTGGGGTGGGGGAGGGGGGCCACGACAATGGAATCTTGCAATTCGAAGGCAAATGGATGGATCTAGAAGAAACCATTCTGAGCGAGGTAACCCAGTCACAAAAAGACAAACATAATATGTACTCACTCATATGTGGATTAGACATAGAGTAAAGGGTTACCAGCCTACAATCCACACTGCCAGAGAAGCTGGTAAACAAGGAGGACACTAAGAAAGACATATATGGTCCCCTGGAAAAGGGGAAAGGGTTGCGATCCCCTGAGCAAATTGAGAGCACGGGAAGAGGGGGGAGAGGGAGCTAGGAGAATGAGAAGGGAAGAAGAGGAGGGATGCAGAGGACATGAGGGAGCACAAAGATTGAGTCAGGGGAAGAATAGAAGATAACAAGAATGGAGATACCATAATAGAGGGAGACATTTTAGGTTTACAGAGAAATCAGGCACTAGGGA